GGGGATATGAATGTAAACGATCAACATTTAATTGAAAACATCCAACCCATTTTGCTACTTTTGTTTGCGTAAAGTTAGACACATCGACTCGATACCCACACATTCTAGACTAAAAAAAAGGTTTTGGGATGAGGTGGGTCTATTAAAACATAATATTATGTGTTGCAAACACATTTTGGCCTCCCAGCGAGACACGGGCCATTACTCATGACACAAAAGAGAAAAGGAAATTGATGACAGTGGAATATGCGACAGACACACTTATGGGCCCGCACTTGGTAGTTATTTGAAGTCCAATAATATATTACCATCACTTTTTGTTTTTGTTTGTGTCAGCAAAAGACGGTTTATATGACTTTAAATTACGTTTAGTGACAATAGCAGCCACATTTTGCAATGTAACAGAAAAGGTAACACTGAAGAAACAAAGAAAACGTATCACACAAGCGCATACTTATCCTATCTATCTACAGGAAAAGCGCATTTGCCAGGGTTAAAAAAGAGTTTTGAAAACTTCTCAAACAACCTGAAATATATTAAAAGAAGTGCTCTTTTTGTGGATAGGAAGCAACATCATCCTCGTCTTTGTTCAGAAAGATACCAAACAGAGCTAACGATAATCCTGCCTACTCTATCCAAAAAGGTCGTGTAAGAAGCTAAAATGAAGAACAAAACAAAACGAATAAACAAACAAACGAAAGAAAAGAAAAGAAAAGAAAAATACCAACAGTAACCGCAACATTAGAGGACAGCAACAGCAACAACACAACAACACAACAACACAACAACAGTAAACCCAAGGGAGAAAAAAATTGTATTCCCACCCACCAGGCAGTGCTACTGACTGAAGTTGTCTTTAGGCCATTCCCAAAGGGGGGATATTAACAAGTTCTTAAGCACAGTAGAATTAGAAATGGGGTGATTTATCATTGTCATGCTCATACTGTGCCGGAACAACATAGGGGGAAACTGCTGCTTCCCCCCCCCCTCTCATCCTTACTATAGTCATTTTTCCTCTACTTCTTTTGTATGTTAGTTATTCTTTTGTGAACTGCTATTTCCGGAGTGCCTTGATAGTCGAAACAGACTTTGAGCTGTTGACGCTAGAGAGGTGAGCAGAGTAAGCCTACTTCCCCGTTTGGACTTCTCAGTTGACATCCACCCCGAGGCGCTTATTTTTTTTATTACCTTAAGCAGTTGCAAGCGCGTAAATCCTTACTAAAACAAACAAATAAATATTGTACGACTCACCGTCCAATGGCTCAGTATATCCTTCATACACACATGCACCGTTGATACATATCTGAAGAAAGTCACAAAGTTATTCTCGGGTGGCGCCCTTAGACCTTGTCACTATAGAATATTGTTTATGTCCAAAAGAAATTTGGAAAATCTATTCACGCAATCATCATCGTAAAGCCTTGCACTACCTATTCATGCAGCATAACAATTCAAAACGAACCGAATTCTGCATCATCTGGCATCATTATGGTGCTCTCTATGGTAAGAGTCGTAAGAGTGTCACTGAAATAAAACTTTAAAAAAAAAACCAGACTTGGCAAAAAATGTGCGATATTTAAGAAAAAAGTGTGTTCGCACGTATACTGGGGTGCATCAACATTTGTGGAATGGGCATGTATTGGCCACCAAATAAAAGGAGAATATTATTGTCTCTTCAATGTAAAATAATATGTTGTTACGATATTTTCTAAGAGATTGGAAAATAGAGCAGTCACACATACCACACAAAACCTGGACTTAAGATTAAATATGCTCTTAATATCATTATGTATTTTGTTTAGGAGCCAATGGTTTCGTCAGCTATTTTTTTTAGCATGAATTGTTTTAGTAACATTTTGGACCTAATCATCATTCAGTGTGGAACAGAGGCCAAGAAACAGCTATATGGTTTGGGGTGTTCTGGCTAGAATGACCAAAACCAACGGATAGCTTAATTTGGAGAGGTCTACGTCGTGCAAGGGCTGGAACGTCATGTTCTGCCCATATTTCGTCACGGTGTCATTTTAGTAGGCATCTTTACGTATTACAAAGCGCCTTCTCACCGGGCCAACACCACTAGACAACTTGGAATATGACATTATCACAGCGATGGAGTGGGCACCAGTAAACAGCCCTAATATGAATCGAACAGATTATGTTGAGCCCTATAAAACTTAAGCTGAAGAAACCCTACTTTGCTCCCAATTCAAACGCCGTGTTTGTAACTCTCTATGACATTAAGCATGAACTGACTGAAGATTATGTCCAAACTTCAATATAGTCGATGCCCAAAGGGTTCGCGCGCTACATAAAACCAATATCTCCTAAACAAAATACTAATGAACAAGTTAATGTTAAGTCCGTGTTTTTCGTGGTATTCGTGACTGCTCAGTTTTCCAATGTTCTTGAAACTATCGTAATAACATATTGGTTGTTGTTGTTGTTGTTGTTTTTTTGGGGGTGGAGAGTAAAATTGTCCATTCATTTAATACGCAACATAAATTCATTTAACAAATGTTGATGCATCTCATTACCTCCACAAACACTCTTTTACGTTTCTTTTATTTCGCACAATTCTGTCAAGTCTGATTTTTTTAAAGGTTAATTTTGAAAGATCATATCTCGAGCGACTCTTATCATAGATGAAATATTAATGTGCCAGATGATTCTGAATTTATTAAGCAATATATAGCAATAGTATGCGCATGAGTGGATAATGAAAGGCTTAAACACGATGATTGGGTGAATACATTTTCAAGTTTCTTTTAGACGCTACAGAACATAATATATCATATTATTATATCTATCTATCTATCTATCTATCTATCTATCTATCTATCTATCTATCTATCTATCTGTCTATCTGTCTATCTAATATGGGAAGGCGGGAAGAAGGCATTTGTACGGGTGATTGTATTGAGCGGGTAGTCATTAGAGCAGTTTCGATTGTATATAGATTTTGAGAAGCTAAGATTGATGGCTGATCAATTATTATTAGGTGAACTGCCAGTGCAATAAAAAGTCGTCTCCCCCTTCAGTGACAATAGCAAACATATTGATTTCACCGTGAGTAATCTAATATGGTCGTTGACAAAGCGGCTGATTTAGTCTGTCTGTCTGTCTGCCTGTCCGTCTGTCTTTCTGACCCTTTCTTTAACATCACCATCATCAGCATCATCATCATCAACATCATCATCATCAACATCATCATCATCAACACCATCCTCGTCAAAACTATATCGATCCTTTTTAATTTCAGCTGTTGTTATCACCCCACCCCTCTTTAATGTCCCCTTCACCCTCACCATCCCCAAATGTTTCCTAACAACCAACGATAACAACCACATAATGAAAAAGCTAAACAATACGAAGAAAACATCTATAAAAGCAGTTCAGGAACGAACAAGCAGTCAAACAAACAACAATACTTAAAATAATAATGGCAAACACTCGCTTATCAGCAAGCTCTACGCGCTTTACAATCTATATCATTACCAAAGAACACATCATAATATCATTATGAAACGATATCAGCGTTCTGGGAAACATACAATGGATCAACCAATAAACATCAAAGGGGGGGGGGGGGGGGCTCTCGTGGTGTAAAGGTTAAGGTGCTCGCCTCTCATTCAAAGGTCCCGGGTTCGAATCCGGGTAACGAAGGAAACATTTTTTTCTCTAAAATGGTGTCCTTTCACCTTCTTTCCAAATCTCTTGCAATGTTCAGTCGTCTGCTTTCGTTTCCACTTTCTGAGCCCACCCTCTCACCTCCTTTGCCCCCTCCTCTGGGCTCCTGACTCTTTCTGCAGCCTTTCTACTGCTACTGCTTGGCTCCTTCTTACTGCTGTCTTTCAGCCACACTCCAGATCTGCTGGTAGGAAAGATCTACACCTAGCCTTCTCGGACAAGTGCAAAAATTCTCAGAGGTCCCTTGTACAAGTACTGCACGTTAAAGATCCCTTGGTGGTCTAAAATCGATAAGAGTAGGCTTCGACCGCCACCCGGACAAAATTCGAAATTTCCTACCAGCTGAAAATGTTTAATGTGTCCCGCGCGCTCATATGACCTTATGCAGTTGTGAGCGCCGTAAAACACTTACCCAAAACAAGCAAACAAACAAACAGTCAAGCAACTACTGACCTTTCCAACGCCACAAGAAGTTCCCCTGGCCGCAAGCTCCCTTCTGCAACTCTGCCAAATGTCGTTACTGTCTAAGCAATACATGATGGTGCAGATTTCTGGCAGAGTTCCTATCTTTAGAGAAAGAAAGATTGAGAACGAGAAAATTAGGGGCTGGGGGCTGAGATTATTGTTTCCTTAGCACGGATTAAAACGGTGCTTTTTAGGCAGATTTTCTACCTTGAGCTAGGTGGAGGCAAAACTCGCGATCAGCTTCGCAAATTTGATGCGTCTTGATTGCAAAAAGCCTGGACTGTTGTTTAGAAACAGCAAAGAGTCATCTTTCAGGTAAATATGTTTGTTTTACTTTAGTAATATAGCACATAATCGACATTTTCAACAACCATAGTTTACTGTACTGTGATGAACTGTTCTCACGGAAATAACAAATATCATGCGTGGGTTTGGGAAATAATCAACTATTCACCTGTGTCTCTAAAGACCATGACTATCAGAGCATATTAATTTGTCTTTTCAATTATCTTTTAAAAATGTTTTCAGTGGCGTTCAATTCATATATATGTATATATAATCAATGTATATATGTATATATAATCAATTTATATTATATACATAATAATATTTGTGGAAGTTCGTCACTTTGGTCGCCTAAAACTTCAGAACCACTTTACTTTCGAATCTGGCAAAAATTAAAGGTGGCTCAGAATCATTTAAAGGGTGCACAGTTATAGTAACGAGTCTGAAGTCTCTTTTTCATTTTTAAAAAGAATTTTTTTTTCATTAGTTTCGTTCAAGAACAAAAAAGATATATTTATCTTGGGAGATTTAAATGGCAGAGTTGGACGAAAAAGAACCCCATGGGAAGAGTACTTGGGACCCCACAGCGATAAAAATTCAGACTGCAACAGCAATGAAGAAATGATACTAAACCTATGCGCTGAGCATGGCATGATTATTACGAACACATGTTTCCAACATAGACAAAGGCAAATCAAGACCTGGTACAAATGGAGTGACCTGAACCATGCTTTACAAATTGATTTCATCCTGATGCGCAGAAAACAAAGACATGCAGCCAAAGATTCAAGAGCAGTTCCAAAATACATCATCAACACGGACCATAGACCTTTGATACTTACTCTCACAACCAACAACGTAAAGCAAACAAAGAAAAACAGGGGAAAAACCACGACTAACCTAAGAAAATTGGAAGAACCAAACATCAAGAAAGCAGTCGAGGATGACATTACCAAGGAGTACTTTAAACTGTCACCTGAGATCAAGGACACAGAAGACGAATGGCAAATATTCAAAGCATCCCTGTCAGAAATACTAAAAAAAACAATTGTGGCACAAAACGAATAGGTGGAAACATAGGCAGAACAACATGCTGGTGGAATGGTGAAACCAAAGAAGCAATTAGAATGAAAAAGAAGAAATTCAAGAAATTGCAGAAGTCAAAGACAGAAGAAGACTATATAGAATACAGGAAAGCCAGAAGAGAGATCAAAAGAATCATCAAAACTGCTAAAGAAATTGCATGGAAAATATATGGGGAGAAACTGACCAAATCTGCAAGGAAAGCGCAAGAAAAATTTTTAAAATGTGAAGACCATGCTGATAAGGAAAGACCCATACAACCCGACATGCATTTTCAATGATGAAGAGGGAAACGCCATTCTCGGCAAACATGCAATCAAGAAAAGATGGGAAAATTACTCCCAAGAACTGCTCAACCCAGACGCTTGCCACGGACAACAAGTAGAGTTCCAACCATCCTATGGAGATCAAACAAAACCACCAATACTTCCCAGTGAAATAGAAAAGGCACTCAAGACCAGCTCCAAGAAGAAAGCCCCAGGACCAGATGACATCGTAGCGGAAGCCATAAGAGCTTGTGGAAACACCGGTATACTGTGGCTGAGGCGTATTTTTAACAGAGCCTAGGAACAAAGAAAATGCCCAGAAGACTGGCAGAAAGCCATAGTGGTACTATTGTGGGAAAAAAGGGCAACAAACTCGACTGCACAACATATAGAGGAATCTCATTGTTAAGCCACTCAGGAAAAATGTGTGCAAAGATACTAGAGCAGCGCATAAGACCTATTGTAGAAAGAAATCTGAGCAAAGCTCAGTTTGGATTCCGAAAGGGAAGAGGATGCACGGATGCCGTATTCGCATTAAGACAGATATGCGAGAAAACAAGAGAACACAACAAAGAATCCAACATCGTCTTTATAGACCAGGAGAAGACTTTTGACAGAGTAAACCATGCAAAACTCTGGAAGACATTCGAAAAGTATGGCGTCAGAGGACAATTGTTAGATAATGTCAGAGCTCTATATACCAACAGCAGAAGCTCAGTAAAAACGAAGGAAGGAAATACAGACTGGTTCAAAGTAAGATCTGGAGTACGACAGGGATGCGTTCTATCTCCCCTCCTGTTTATAATATATATGGACACAATAACGCAAGAAGCAAACCAAAGCCCAGAAAGCCTAAATGAATTTCTGTTCGCAGACGACCAATGTCTAATTCATCATGACCAACAAAGCCTCCAAAATCACAATACCGAACTCAACAACACCTGTGAGAAATTCAACATGAAAATAAGCACATCAAAAACAGAAATTATGAAAGTGAGCCGAAACCATAATCCCCTGAACATCCATGTCAATAGTAAACAACTGAAACAGGTGAAAGAGTTTAAATATCTTGGCAGCACTTTTTCTGAAAACGGGTCCATAGACAGAGAAATAGAAATGCGAACACAAAAAGCCAACGCTGTCACCTTCTAGCTCGCACCCCTTCTATCTCATCCAAACATCTCCAAGGACACAAAGAGACAGCTTATCACCTATATATTCGTACCAACATTACGTTATCAGTGCCAGACCTGGACCTTAAGCAAAACCCATTGAAAGCAAAATCACCGCATGCGAAATGAAATGTCTCTGCAGAACCCTTAACATCACAAGACGAGACAGGCAGAGAAATGAAGAAGTAAGAGCAGCTATCGGCACTGAGTTTTTCCTGCGTTACATAGAAAGATAGAGGATAAAATGGTTTGGCCACCAGTTACACATGTCACCTGATCAGCTAGCCTTGAGAGCTTACAACACCAAGCACTCAGGCAATAAAGGAAGAGGAAGGCCACCCAAAAGGTGGATCGAGGGTGGCAAGGAAACCCTTAGAAAACATAAAATAACAACTGAAGGAGCTGCGGAGCTGGCCTACCATAGAAAACTGCATCTCCCCTCGACGCTTAACAGCAACAGAGGATGAAAAAGTAAAAGTAAAAGTAAGTATTAGTTTCGTTTAGATCTAATCTTGGGAAAGTCCGTCTTATAAGACGCCATTTCCACACCTTTAAAATTCTGGAGTGTACAACCACGTAAGTAACATTTTTGAAAGTTCGTCGCTGTAGTCGACTAAAACTTCCGAACCGCTTAACTTTCGAATTTGAAAAAAATTACAGTTTTTCAGAATCATTTAAGGGTGCACCCTCTTATTAAGGTGTCTGAAGTCACTATAGTTTAATTTCCATTTTTTTCATTAGTTTCATTTAGGTCTAATCTTTGGAGACGCTATTATAAACAAGTGATGCGTCCAGTCACAAGTTTCGGACTTTCTTTTCATTATGAGTTCTGTTGTTCAATATGATCTCTTAAAAAAATACCACTTTCTCACAGAGGGGAGTCTATTGGCAGATTGACTCCTAGACAGAAACGGAAAAAAACTAAAGTAAGTGACAATGACAGTGATTTAGAAAATAGATGCATTGCAACACCGAGATCTAGATCTAGAACTAGAGTCACAGATACTATAGCCATGGCAGAATCAGATAAAGCTACCTATACTGCAAGAAATGAAGATTATGAAAATGAAAATACAACAACAACAGAAACTGTTGTGCCCAGGCTCAACTGTATGCAGGTCAGTAGAGGCAATTTTAGACAGGAAGCATACATTGGGGAGCTCAATTTTCAATGCCAGCATTGTCATGCAATGAAATGTAACGAAGAAGCTAGATGAATGTGTTGGCGAAATGGAAAAGTTGATTTCGAACCTTTTCCTGCACTTCCTCTGCCTTTGGCTTTACTCTTTGAAAGTGTTACTACTGGCTCAGCACATTTCTTAGAAAACTTTGGAATTACAATAGTGCCTTTCAATTGACCTCACTTGGCTTTAAAGAAGTTGCGATGACAGGATGGAATCTCCAATTCAGAATCCTAGGTCAGCTTTGTCATCGTATTGAACCTCTAGGGCCATCCCATGAAGCACAGTCTTCTTTTTTACAAATTTATTTCATTGATGGTGACGAACATGTTGAAAAAAGGAGCAATATCACAGATGGACTATGTCGCACCACATTACTTGACATTCAGGAGGTGCTAAATGAACATCACAAATACATTGAGGAATTGAAATGTGCCTCTGAATTTGCCAAAAGCCGGAGCAAAGAGAATTTCAAATTGTGATAAGTGAGGCGGCGCGACCATTGCGAACTCATAACAGGACATACAATGCATCAACTCTGAATGAAGCTGCTATTCATATGCCCAACAATTCTGTTGGACACCGAGATACTGTGCTTCACACTAGAACTGAACAGTTGTAAAAGATTTCAGAATTGTATATGGCCTATGACTGTTTGCAGTATCCTTTGCTTTCCCCACGTGGAAGTGATAGCTTGAATCTCAGATTGAAATTTACAAGCCTGCACAAATATCACAACTTCACTTCAACTGCTTTCATTTCTTCATAAGGCAAAGAACCTAATTATTGCAAGCACGTCGGCTCTTTCAGCAGTATATTGTCGATACTTACGCAAAGATTGAATGTGAACGCCTTCAATTTATTTGGAGAGAACAGAAGCGACTCATGGCAGACGGTTATCCAGAACTTAGAGACACAATGTCCGGTGCAGATGGTAACCCAAACAATGCCGGGCAAAACGTCATCTAGCCTTCTTCTTATTTTGGAGGACCGCGCTACAGGTTCGAAAAACAACAAGACTCAACGTCCTATGTCCGAAGATTTGGATGTCCAGATCTATTTGTCACTTTCACCACAAATCCCAATTGGGAAGAGATTTCCTCAAACTCCAAGCTGGACAGCGCCCACATGACAGACCAGATCTGATTGTCAGAGTGTTTCAACTAAAGCTTTAAAAATGTTACAACTTATCAATAAAGGCTGTTTGGGGACTTTGCACGCATGAATCTACAACATCGAGTTCCAAAAAAGAGTATTGATTGCCCCCACGCAAACATGCTTCTACGGCTTATTCCTGATTCCAAGATTCACCCTGAAATGATTGACGGAATTGCCAGCACAGGTATTCCCAGCAAAGAAATGGACCCACCTCCTACAAATAGAGCGGTTGCAAACATGATTCATGTGATATTTAAATTTCTCTTTCAGGTGATACCTAAATCTCTCTTTCAATTGATCATTTGCAGACTTTTGTCTTAAGTGAAAATGACTTGACGATCGATTCTTCTGAGTCCGTTCATGGAACGGGTACCCAGCTAGTATACTAGCTGACACACTAGGGACGTATACTCGAATGGTAGCAACCTTAGGCAGAGAGTGTCGTGAGTGGCCACAGAGGGCAGCCAATGCTGAGGCTGAGACGCTAAAAGAGGAGAATAGTGAACAGGGCGACGTAGTCATCGTCACAGATGGATCAGTACAGCGTGGCGTCAAATCTGGATGAGCTTTCAGCACCCGTGTAAACGGGGTCATACAGTCAGGTATCTCACTAGCATAACAACGTCCAGCATGTGCATGGGTCTGAAAGCCCCAAGAGATGCCCTAAATTGGATAAAGGCGACGGAGCATCAGTCTGCCATCTTCGTCACTGGTTCGATGAGTACTCTCGAAAACGTGAAGAAAAACATGATGTATGTAGACTGGTGAGAGGCGATACGAAGCAGCAGACTTCCTAAGATTGTATAGATTTTTAGCCCTGGTCATGCATGATTTCGAGGAAAAGAACGTTGATAAGTTAGGCAGCTATGCAGTTCGATTCACCAAACAGTCATGGCCGCATTGACGACCACAAAGGAGATGAAGGCTACATATGGAAAGACTGGGGAAGCTGGCGTTTCAAGAGGATCGAGAAGAGACAGAAACCTGCAACAGAAAGCCACAAGAATTTCCAACCTGCTTTTAAGCGGCACGACCAGCAAGCAGACCCTTTCATGGATCCTGGAGAGGAGGGGGAGCAGGTATGGTTTTTTTCCCGTATGCAATGTCATAATCTCCAACCAAGTAGTCAGTAATACATACTGTTGTTTTTTTTCTTGTGTGTGTTTTTTTTTTTGGGGG